TTTCGGCGAGATGCTGCAGGTACGATCTATGGACCGTCTGAAAGTTTTGTCAGGCTGGCACTAAGTCCACGACTGCGAGACAAAACATGGTCAGCCTGCGCCTGCTCTGTGCATGCTGCACCGGGGGAATGCCCCTTTGAACGGCAACAAAGTTCCCGTTTACATGGGGTTTCTCGGGAAAGGGGCGGGCAAGTGGACATGCTGGGACGTGAGCGATGGGGCCCCTACCCGCCCAGACATCGCAGCTTGATCTGTCACAACCAGGAACGGCGGTGGTGCTTGGGGTCATGTGCCATGTTACGGACAGGATGCCGAGCACACATCCCGGCACGCCTGTCTCCATACAGCTAGAATCTGGAAGCAACACAACTTCCCATGAGCTACCAAGGCTCGACCAGATCCAGAAGTGCTTGAACGACTACTTGGAGACGAAGCGACTGGCCTTCCCTCGATTCTTCTTCTTGCGCATGCCCCAGCCAGGATCCGGTCGTAGCGTTCACAGGCTGAGGATTCGCATCGCTTTCGGATTGAGGGTGCAGCAGCAACCGGAAGAAAGGACAGATCTGATGCTCAAAACAGCACAGCATCACACCCGTTCTCACCTTCACCGTGTGCGGTATGCTGTCAGGTCCAACGACGAGCTGTTGATGATCCTGTCCCAGACCAAGGAAGTCCGAATCCACGTCCAGCCAGGGTGTACGCCCTCAACGGGAACTGAAGTGAACTTTTTCGCGCTGGTACAGTGTTCCCTCAGCATCTTGTGGCCTCTTGTTCCCAAGGCATTTTGATTATCATTTGCCGGTGCTTCAAGCATCATGTTCAAGGGGCTTGATGGTGGATCCGGAGTGGCGACCCGCGGGGTTGTGCCAGCACAGTATTCGAACTGTGAGGGAATCTTCTAGTCCCTTTTCATGCTTCGATGCTGCCCATCATCATAAGCATCGTCGCTGCTATTTGGCTTGACACGCAGGACCCGACGGCCGTGCAGCCGCACATGGGCAAGTGCTTCGAAGGTCGGGTGGGCTCGGGAGCTCTCGCGACCCTGCAGCTCAAGCCTCGATTCGTTTCTGAAAGACCTTAAAACACCCGACGCTTTAACGTCCTTCCTTCCGTTCCACACGACCAGGCATCAACAAAGTTCGCTTCGATGGAAATTCTGAAATCATCGAAGCGATGCTGTCCGTCGAGGGTGAAGTGGTGGAGCTCATCAGCCAGGCCACTAAGAAAGAGCCCTCCATAAACTTCAGGAATCCACTTGCCTTCCGAGCCGAGCCCTGGACGTGGCCGGAAGGAGGGCATCGAATGCTTGAGATGTGCCGAGCCGATCTCCGGCACGGGCGTCTGCACGAATTTTCTATACGGTTTGAAAGCTAGGCCTTCTAGGCCGGTGTTTGGCAGCAGATTCGGAGTCAGTGGGAGTTGCCGGTGCCGAACCGCAGCTCCCATCTGACCCTGGGCCTGCGATGCCGCAGGTCAACGTCAACGAGGGCGAGAAAAAGGGCAACGTGGAGCGCTGGCTGCTCGAAGTGCAGGAAACATCGGGATGCATTTCCAGCTGTGGTAGTCAGCCGTACGGCACATGAAGTCCACATGGCATAAGTGGAGGTGAGGAATATTGAGTCGTCCACAATTCCCCATGCAGCGGTAACATGTCTGCCGAAAATCGCCCCGGTCTGTGCCTAAGCTGTCGCTGTCCAGAAAGCACGGCACAGGAATCCATGATCAAGACCTTGACCAAGGCCATTTATGAAGTGAGATAGAGCGAAGTTCAGTGTCCGTCCTGAGCCAACCCTTCTAAGTCTACATGCTCGGAAGCCGAGTCGGCCCCACTGCTGCTTCCTAGAGCATGTCGTCGCAGTGGGGGGTTTGTATAGATCACTATAGACCTGAGCAAGATGTCGATGTCTCAGAGGCGCACGACCGCATAAGGCTGCAGGTCGCCAAGGATCGTCTCGTAGGCAGATTATTGACCAGAGAGAGGGGCAACTAAAGAACTAAAGCCTTCCAAACACACCATCGAACGCTCGTCTTCCCAAGTCTCCAACCCTTGAAGACTATATGGAGCCTTGCCTGCCTTGTGCGAGTGTGAGAGCCGAAACCTTGAAGACCAAATTTGTTTTCAGCTCCTTAGTCATCCCTTCCGCGGTTAACGCCGAAAATCCAGATCATGGGGGACTCCGTCCGTTCCTATGCAGAGACGCAGCGGGGCAAGTGGGCCGTGAGCTCAGAACCTGTTTGGAGATATCGTTCCATGCCATGAGCAAAGTAGAGAAGGGTGTTTCTGGGCTTCACGGCTCTAGAAATGAATCGTGGTATATCCTGGCGAGTTGTCTTGAGGCTGTCTTTCCGGGCTTATTGCATCTGCAACAAGAAATCACAGAGCTTTCGAATTCCTTCAAGCTCACGGAACCGAAGCATCGCTGCAGACGGAGTTTCATGGAGGCCTTGCGAGCGAACTGGTCACAATTCATGACTGCTCTACTTAAGCTTCCAGTCTGATCCGTGTTGTCGGAGCAAGTGACAATGACTCGCCTTGTTGCGTCCCTACTCGGCGTTGGCGATGGGCCTCGTTTGGTGACTTCGTTAGCCGTATGATCTCCAGTGACACTGGGCAACCTAGAAACAAGCATTACGCAACACCAAGTTCACAGCACCGTTTCCTGTTCGAACCTAAACGAAGAGTTGACCAGTTCCAGTGGAAGAGTTGCTTGCAGGTCCTTTCCTGGCCAGGGCAGGTTGTCATCGCAGCCCGGAGCACAGTGGCAAACATGTAAATCAGGGGCAGTTCCAGGCTTACTTGGCCACGGGTGCTACGCATGATTTGTGTCAGCCGTCAGCACATCTGCAGTGTTCCACCGCCGGCACGGTGGTTGGATTCTAGAACAGATCAGGTTTGCGAGCGACAAAGCACCCAGAAAGATCACCACGATGAGACGACGAGTCGACCAACCATAGGCTGTTGGAGTTCACCAAGGTCGACAATATTTATTGGACGCAAGAGGTGGCGGAAGCAATCGACAAGGGGAAGTTGGACAACTATTACCAGGCTAGCTGTTGTTCGGAGCCCTGAGCTTCTGGCTGTCTCTTCTCGCATGACATAGCTTTTTCCGGGCATGGGGGTGGGTTCAGTCTTGCTTCCTGTTGATTCCAGACCATGTGATATCCATCCTTCGATCCAGAGGAAAGCCTTGTTGTCGCATGCCACGGGTTCCGCCAGCTGATGCTTAGTGTGAGGCGCATTGGGGTTGTGGTGTTTGGCTGTGCAACGAACAGCCGGGTCCCAGTAGGCAACCTCCTGTTGCTGTCCAGGCTCATACTGACAGAGTGGGTCTTGCATGGATGACAGTAACATTCGTTCCATCATGAGCCCACTTTTTTCCCGTCGTTTTGGAACTGCTAGGCTGCTAGACTCGACAGCGCTCTGACGTTTCCTTGTGTTTGAAGTTTTGCTTCCAGTGCCTGGCCTAATTGCGGCCCTGCCATGTCTCCGGGCGAAGAAGAACATTCCCCACCATGGGTGGTGGTCCTTGCGACGCTGTTTGCAATTCTGCGGCTTGTCCGAAGATGGCCTGTTCAAGTCGTATCAGAGGATTTATGACTTAGACGCTGCGAAGAAGGCATACAGTGGAGCATTTCAATGTGCTTGCATGCGCAGAGTCGGCCGCCTTAGACCCGGTACTTCCAAGATCACGCCTTGCCTTCAGTTCGGTCCTTGCTGAAACTATCACGTCCCACAGCTCGACCCACCGATGCAAATTCAGTTCCTACTGTACCCCCTGCCCTACCGGCTGCGTAAACAGCATGTGAGGCTGATGTACTGGGAACCTTTCCCCTGAACCTCTGCTGTACTGTACTGTAGCCTTGACCACCAATTCCTGTGCAGGTTGCCAGAAGCGATCGTTGTTGCAGCCTTTTCCAGCATGGGAGCGGGAATCCAGGTCGCAGAGATGGCGGTCACCAGACCGCAATCGCTTCCATGGCTCGGGGATTAGACTATGCAGATTATACTATCCGGGACTATCCGCGATTGACATGTATACACAGCTACAGATGCACACATGAGAAGTGTGTCTATACTTCCAAGCAGGGTGTGAACTAGAATCGTAGACCCGGGAAGCGAAGGTTTAGATTCCTGACCTTGCCCGCGAGCATTCAAAATTGGCGTTGCACTCATATCCTCGCCGGACACCAGGGCTGGTGACGGCCTACTAAAGTGCATGCTATCATGCAAAACAGAGTTCCTTCGACCCTCCTGCGCTTGTATTTAGAGAGTCTTGACTCATGATGTACAGTTATAGTCTCCATTGTAGCTCCTTTTTGGGGATACCTTACAAAACCCTTATTATGTGTTTGGTTAAACCAAAACAAGGAACTACAATGGAGACTATAGGCAGTTACTACACAGCCAGCAGGCCTATCGGACGGAACTCGCATGCCACCTTCGACTCGCCATCTCTGAGGCCGACAGCCAGATCGACATGCTTGGCAATGCCGCCGGTGGGATCTGCCTTCTGCTTCTCATCTTTGCGTTTGTGATCGACCTCTTCACTCGACCGCTTTATGCTGCTTGGACGGAACGCTGCGGCTGCCGCCGGAAATCTAAAGCCGTGGCCTTCCATAAGCGTAAACGGCGCTGAAGGAAAAACAGTATGGCATATGAGCAGGTAACATTCCGTCTGACCGGTAAGGGAGTGCCTTGTGGCATATAGCCGCTGCCTGTATGGGTTCTGAGACCACAACCGGAAGGTGCAGCTGCCCGTGGGGTTGATCATGGCGTGTGCATTCCTCGCGGCTGCATCTATGACGCTACGGCCGCAGTGGAAACTGCTACGTACAACAAATGTGGATGCTAAACCTATACTTCTGTTCCATGCACCAAGCACCGTCATTCATCTTCTCCGTCTGAAGGGGTGTTGCTCGAGATTCTGCTGGGTAAGGCGACAGGGTCAGCATCGATAGCAGGGAGATGATGTTGTATTCGGTTGATCTACAGCAGCTGCCCGATCTTGGATGGAGCAGATTCAGATTGCAGCAGTGCCAGCCGAACAGACAGTTGTAAGGGGTTGATGTTTGACAGAATCACACGCACAGCCGGAGTGACTCCCGGGCGTGCACGCGAGTGGCCCGCGAAACAACTGTTTGTGTTGTTTGCAATGCCGGCCGGAATGTATGACCAGGAACTGACAGACGGGCGACGAATGCCATGGAACTGGCCGTCAAGGTTGCTGACAGAGCACCCCCCCCCCTTGACAATCATTCGGCCGACAGATAGCTCAGTAGGAGCCTCCTTGAAGTCCTTGGGCTAATAGCCAAGATCCCGAAAGTAGTAGTAGTCTTCTGCCCTGTAATATAGGGGCCTTAATAATTACCTATACTAATTGGGGTTCCGTACAATCATGGTATAGTGTACCCCCCAAACCCCATTCTAATTATTAAGGCCCCTACATTACTCCCGCTTCGAGGAAACACATCTCACTGCCATGGCTCAGTGGGCTGACATGCCTCGGCCTCACCGTGGTGATGATGCTTGGCAATCCTTGGGTTCAGGATTTAGGGTTTATAGGGTTTATAGGGTTTATAGGGTTTAGGGGTTAGGGTTTAGGGGTTAGGGTTTAGGGGCTTAGGGTTTAGGGGTTTAGGGTTTAGGGTTCAGGAGGCTCCAAGAAGTCAGAGGCAAGCTTCTCTTGATGTGCAAGTGTTCCACAATGCGGCCGGCTGTGCTCTTCGCAACAATTCTGCAACCTCCCTGTCAGGGCAAAGGGATGGGGACTGTCGTTTGTGTTGGCACCCTGCCAGATGAGTGACTGAGAGACCTTGGGACCAAGCATGCCCAAATTCCACTGCACAAGCTCGTAACTAAGGATAGTGATCGTGCGGCGACGGTGTTTCAAGCCAGGGCAGGTGAGTGGTCGAGACTTCTTCAACAGCTGCTGGCTTTGTTAGCAATCGTGGACATTTCAATTTTGCTTTGGTTTGCGCTTCATGTATCATGTCTTCTGTGCTCCTGCGAGAGAACGTCTGCCGGCGCATTCTGTCAGAGAACGAGGTCTGGCTGCGAGCTTCATTCTCGGGGCGCTGATCGCGATAGCAGCATGGGCGGGTTGGATGGCGTTTGCTGACAGAATGTGGTACGAAGGAACTCGAGTTTGGCTAGCAGCTGAGACGCTTGGGCTTTATTGGTGGGACGGGCAAGCAAGGATGCCTAATCCACCCGAAAACTAGTTTCGCCGTGCACGCTTCAGGAACTCGGCAGTGTATGCATACTTCTTCACGAACTTCACTCTGGACTACCCGACCTACTGCAGCTCCGAGACCAAGAATGCCACGGTCCTCGCCACATTCTCGGACGATGGCCGTGCGCAGATCCAGTCCGCCTGTTCAAAATCAGAGATGCTCTGCGACATATTATCGTTGCGGTTCGCGGGCATGCTGTTTAGTTTTGAGGCTCGCGGATGTCTTGAAGGCGTGGGCTTAGTCTACCTTGAATTTTTCTCGAGCAGCTCCAGACTTGCAAAGCCTTTGCGTGATGCGCCTGGAGGCTCACAGGGTGGTGTCTCTGTCGTAAGTGGAAGGCCTGACGAGTTCCGGCCAAGGACGGTTTGGTTCCTGCAGTGGTCGGCCCCATGCGCTGTGGGCATTTGCAATCTCATCCTCGCGGCATTCAGTTGGGTCTTCGCACAGGCCATCCGTCGGCCAGGGCTGGCAAGCTTAAGGGGCCAGGGCTTCAGATCTTGCGGTACCGAGAAGACGTAGCCGTACCATGCGTGCTGAAACTGTTTGCAACTTTGGACGCTCCCACAGGCGACCGGGGGCGTCGATTTGCGAGTTGGCAGCGAAGCTGCGCGTGTCAAGAAGGCACTGAAGCTTTGCCTGGCTCTGGTCATCCTGATGATAGCCATCATGCCACTTGCTCGGTCTAGGGCTTTGGGGCCGCTGTTTGGGCAATCGGAGAATCGGAATGCGGCAGTCCTCAGGCATTCGCAGGTTCAGTCGTCAGCAAGCCTGCAGGAGTCGCAGATCCTCAGCAACCGAGGTACACTGCACAGTATGTGTCGGGTGCCAACGTCACCGTGACTTGGCGAATGAGGTCGTCTACGCTCCAGTTTTGATTCTGGCGCTCTAATTAGGTTGCTTGCGATCAGGGGGCGGCTCTTTGTAAGAAGAGCTGGTCAGCATGCAATCTTGTTATTCTTGGGCGATGCTCGATGAAGTCTGGAATTCTTTCAATGCCAACCTGGCTTGTCGGGCAGGGCTTCAACAGATAATGAATCGTTTTGCGGAGTCTCGCAGACAGCTCTTTTCTCCATCTGGATTTGGAGACACTTGGAGGGTATTGGACAAGCTCGGTGCAAAGCGCAGCATTCGCTCTTCGTTTTTGCATGCTGCCTCATATTGACTTGCACATGAAGCTAATCCTCCTGCAACATTTTAGGTTACACAAGAGTTGTGACATGATGCGCATGGCTTTCCATGGCTTCATGGCGAACCAGGGAGGGTGGATAGGGCTGAGTGCTAGGTGAGCGCCGGACTCGTGTGCTTAGCCGCGGCTTCCTTGGCGGGAATCCTTGGATTCATGCTTCTGGAGCGCCTTGGCTCCGCTGAGGTTTAGGGTTTAGGGTGTCATTGCATGTGAGGGCCTGTTGCAGCCTCGTTCAGTGAACTGTTCCGTCGCTTCTCGAGCGTGCGGCCAAGATTTGGCTTCGACAAGCTCAACGAAGTTTCGACGCAAGATGGCTTGGCGAAGAACCTGGCCCGCCGTCGAAACAAAAAACTGAGTGGAATTTTGCAGAAGGTGGTTTCAATTGTTTGTTTCGGTGCGAGATGTATCTGTTAAGAACATGCAAAAGGGGGCCTTCGTTCTCGGACCTGAGAGCGACAGTGTAAGGACTCGGACTCCCTGCCAGCAAGTCCCGACTGTGCATTGTCCTGCATCCGAGAAGGAACACGATCTGTAATCTGTATATCTGGCCCCTGCGAGGTGAGCATCTTGAAATCAGACTGGATGAAGGCAATCGCAGTGGGCGGGCTGACTCGTGACAGCCTTGA